GGTTCTGTCTGAAATGACAGACCACAACCCGGTTGAGAATCGGTTCCCTACCGGGACATAGCGCCTGTCTGAAATTCCCCACCGTCGTGATCATCCAGCTAGGGTTGCCAAATGGTGTCAACAAAAATACTAGACACATTTGGTCAAAATGTCTTGACCAAATATCTATGTGCACTAGGGGGTATGCCTTTGGGTATACTTGAACTGAATATCTACTCAAAAATACCTTATCTTTATTTTTTGGGTATATTTCGGCTTCCTGAATGTATCTGGGTTTTCTTGGAGAGCCAGTTTGGTGTAGTGGTTAGGAGTGCGGACTCTACCCCCAGCTCCGGTGACCGCTGGCCATCCAGTGGAGAGCAATCCTCCCCAAGGATCACAACGATTGGCGGGTCGGGGAAAGCGGAGGTTAGGGTTGTGGCAGAAGGATGTCGTGGCGACCTCAGCCGGACACCTAGAAGGACCCTATGGTCCCGCTCCAGAAAATAAACTCCTTCGGCTAATGAAGGGTGGGGTATAAATCCAATCTCTTCATCTTCTCTTCTTTGGGAAAACCAGAGGGGGGGGAGTCCTGGGAAATATTCAGGAATTACCTGTCGATCCCAAAACAGCAGAGAGGCAGAAGCAAATTGCTCCCTCCTCTCAGCTCTTTCTTGGGATTCTACTGCAGTCCCTTTAAAGTTTAAAGGGATTGCAGAAGACAGCCTGAGGATCAGCTTTGCATGGGGGGGCAGACTGTCCCTGCCTGCTCAACTTGGGGCTGGCTTCTCATGCAGCCCAGTTTAAACCAGGCTGCAGGAGAAGCCAGCCCCAGAAGCTGATGTGCCTTAGGGTGTAATCTGCTACCTGCGGCACAGCTAGTTTCTCCTGCGGTGTGGTTTAAGCCACACTACAGAAGAAGCTAAGCCAGCCACAGAGTTGGGCTGGCTTTTTTTAAAACCGGTATTTTCTTATCAAGTCTATTGGACCCAAAAATCCCGGATCCAAATACCATACCAGTATTGGGATCCAGGATTTTTTTGGAAATAGCAAACATTTTCAGGCCCAGTAGACTGTTTTGGATTGCTAGCTATTGGGGGGGGGGGGACCGGGGGGCTTGCTGTCCTTGCAGAGGAGGGAGAGCTTGTACTTGAATAAAACTTGGTCTTAAAGGTGCCACTGGATGGTTTTGGACTGGGGGGCCGGGGGAGGGCTCTGCAACTTACCTGGCTGCTTCTTGCTCTGAGGACTGCTGGGAGCAGGGGGTGGGGCTTGGTGCATGTGCCCGCCCCCTGGGTTCTTTACTTCCGGAGCCCCACTCCTGTGCACTCCTGCAGGAAATGACCCCTGAGCCCCATTGAATAGACCTGAGCAAGATTCTAAGATGACTCACTGGTACATGATCTTCCTTGAACATAGCTGTGATTCCAATTTTCTGTTTTCATTATTATTAATGGGGCCCTGTCCCCCTACTCAATTTTCAATATGTTCTGTTAGAACAGAAATATAATACAAAGTACTTTTCAACTGGATTATGGATTCTTCAGGAATAGATCAGATCTAAATTCTGGGAAATGGGGGGGTTGAGGAATGTTTGGTTTGGTTTGGTTTAACTTGGTAGAGGTCTACGAATTCATTCTTGGAACTGCAGTGGTTTAGTTAAACAGAGTTCAGTTACAGCTATACTATACAGATATACTAATATATCAAGTACATTCTATTAATGCATAAGCAAGTTACGTGACATTTTTGTCTTCACATTAATGGTTGCATTTAGGATGGAGAAACTCAAAGTCTCTCTGCCCTACGAGACCAGCACAAGACAGGGATCTACAACAAAACGAGCAAGAAGGTTACCTTCATCATGGTTCTGTAAGGCCTCTTCACATCCATGAGGTGGAGGTTTCCAATGAGTGGTAATGGCCGTGGTCCTGGTGGGAGATTTTTGCTACTGCTCTTCCAGAAATAGTGCCTTTTCCAGAGGAATGCAAGTGTGAGGGCAAGTAGGAACAACACAGAAATAGGATCCAGCCAATCCATTTCCTGCTAACAAGAAGTTGCTTGTAGAGGTTACAGAGAAAACTGCAATGGATTTTGATCAAGGGCTGTTTCGGTCCCCTGAAATGAGCTGCACACAATTGTTTATATAGACACAGCCCAGTATAATCTCACCAAGCATCCAACCCATGCCTTTTATAAGAAATATTCTCCATCTATAAAAACCCTGTGTTTGAATGGGTGGTGTCTAATTGATCAAAGTGAAACTTGACAGGACAGGTCTAAACTCTCTTGACCCCAGCCTGAAAGTTCAACACCATTTTATCTGGAAGGCTAAGCTAGTTAATTATCAACTGGGTCCAAAGAGTAGTGTTGCCAGTGAGTCAACCTGTCTAGATATCAGGGATGGAAAGGAAGAGAGTGTGACTTCGGTCACCTCCGGAGTTTTGTGATGCACACAATAGTTTAAAAGAAGTGGTTCATTGTTAGGTCATTTTACCATTAACATCCTGTTTCTTTGTTATTGATATTGCACATCCTTTTTAAAAAGATCTATTCATTTATTTCAAATAATTTCAAATTTGGGGGACCTATTTGTGGCTGTAATCCCCCCCCGCATCCACCTGGGATAAAATTCTGAGTGACTGATAACCCTGTATTCAAGGAGTCCCCCTGTCTGCCAAATTTCATACAAAGAGGAGAAAGCCTCACCATTTTCACAATAGCACAATTCACAACGCCATTTGATTTCTGATACAGTCTAAGCAAAAGAAAAAAACCAATAAAAATTGAGATAAGTTTGCGGTGGGTGCAAAATGATCGAAAAGACAGCAAAATACGTAGACTACTGTAACTCAGTCATTCTTGGCCATTTTGCTTTCACCAGGCACATTCCCTGTGCATTATTCTGATATTACAAGTTGGCATGTGGGAATTTTCAGGCTTTATAATGTTAACAGCAATGAAACTCACCTGTAATGTTCCCCCCCTGTTTTTTAACCCCTGCTATGTAACACCTGTAATGGCACCTCTCTGTGATGCTCTGAAATAAACTGTATTATGCCCCCTCCTAGACTTCCTTAGCATTTCCTGATCACCTTTGCTGTCACCTTTGTACCTCTTGGTTTAACCCGAAGAACAGGATGGGTTCTTCTACCTTGGGTAGAATGACAGAACAGTTATCACTAGGGGTGTGCATTCAGCAATAGCTGAACTGAAAAAATACCCCAAAAATACCTTGTCGGTATTTTTCGGGTATCACAAAAGCCGAATACAAATCAGAGATCTGTATTCAGTTACCAGTATAGCTGAACCAAAAAAAGCCAATATTATCCAGCTTTTTTGGGGTTCATTTTGCTATACCGAATATAAGGTCTTATTTAAATCTAACAGCCTGAGTCAGCTGTGGGGTTTAAATGCCTTTCTTTCCCTCCTCAAGATCGGGAAGGGTACAGGTGCAGGTGACACTTTATACAGGGTTAGTATAGACTACCAAAAGTGCTACAGGTGCATTCTTACAACACACAACGCCATTTGATTTCTGATACCGTCTAAGCAAAAAAACCCAAACGATAAAAATTGAGATAAGTTTGCGGTGGGTACAGACTAATTGAAAAGACAGCAAAATAAGTAGACTGCTCTAACTCAGTCATTCTTGGCCATTTTGCTTTCACCAGGCACATTTCCTGTGCATTATTCTGATATTACAAATTGCCATGTGGGAATTTTCAGGCTTTATAATGATGGAGCATTGAAACTCAGCTGTAATGTTTTCCCCTCTGTATTTTAACCCCTGCAATGTAACACCTGTAATGGCACCTCTCTGTGATGCTCTGAAATGACCTGTATAACGCTCCCTCCTTGACTTCCTTAGCGGTTCCTGATGACCTTTGCTGCCACCTTTAGACCTCTTGGTTTAACCTGAAGAAATGGATGAGTTATTTAGCTTGGGTAGAATGACAGGACAGTTATCGCCTGGGGGTGACTGTGAGGCAAAAGGGAATCGTTTATTCTAAATAAAATGGTTGCTTTTGCTTAAACAGAAATATAGTTTCTTAAGAAGTGTAAAAAAGCTTAATTGTTCCAGTGTAGTTCAAAAGCATAATGGTTTCATTAAATCTGCTAATTTTCTGGTTGCAAGATCGCTGCAGGACTTCTTCTTTTTTTAAAGGTTTCCCTAAATTGATATCCCCACATTTTTTTACTCTTTTTTTTTTAAAAAAAATGAGTCAGCTGTGGGGTTTAAATGCCTTTTCCCCCCTCCTCGAGATTGGGGAGGGAAAGGTATTGAAACATGCCTCCTCTGACTTTCCCTCCCCTCTCTGAGTTTCTCTGCAGCAGCTGAAAGGCTCAGGTAGGGAAGGAGGCATGTTTTTATGCATGCTCTTCCCTTCCCCAGCCAACCGGCTGCAGCAGGCGCGCTGTGAAAACGAAGAGCAGGCAGGGAAACATGCCTGGGCTCCCTGCCTGCCCTTCTCCAGCTACACCATGTCAGTTAGGGAAGGGAAGGCAGAGAGAGGAGGCTTCCCCTTGTCAATTTCACTCACAGCTGACTGGCGGGGAGCTTGATAAGGAAATCTGCAGGGGCTACCAGAGGGAAAGAAGGCATTTTAACATGCCCCCTTTTCCTCTGGTGGTATATATCTGATCTGAATATATTTGGCAATAACAAATATTTTCCCAATCCCTCTACTTTACTGGTATTAGACTGGGGAAATCTGGCATTTACTAATATTTTTCGGGTCTGATTTACTCAAAGCCGAAAAAATACCGGCTTTTTTTTTTTTTTTGCACATCCCTAGTTATCACCTGGGGGTAGCTGTGAAGTAAAAGGGAATCCTTTATGTTAAATAAAATGGCTGCTTTTGCTTAAACAAAAATATAGTTTCTTAAGAAGTGCTTCAGTTTAGTTGCTTCAGTTTAGTTCTTAAGAAGTTGCTTCAGTTTAGTTAAAAAGCATAATGGTTTCATTAAATCTGCTAGTTTTCTGGTAGCAAGATAGGTGCAGGACTTCTTCTTTTTTTAAAAATCCCTAAATAGACCTAGCCACATAGAGCCACAAAGAAATTCTCCTATAAAGAATGCATGGTCAGCTTATTAGAACTGGGAGAAACTCCAGGAGGAGCCATCCCCCATTAGATCAGGTGCCATTCATGTGTACTTGACTCTTCACTCTCCAACATAGTATGGGCAAAGCCAGGCACATCAATGGATGCCTGCTTCCTCTTTGCCATCACTGAAAAGATCCAGCCTGCTTTTGCTCCCTGCCATTGAAGTTGAATGATCTACAGGGGTACTGTCATGTTCCTTTGTCTATAGTAGTGCGGCCTACAGGCTCAAGGGAGGCTTAGTGGCTCCAGGGAAGTCTGTACTAGTATGTCTACAGAGCTTACATTTCCCAGGTACCCTGTGGATGCTGGGATTAGCTAACAGTGGATTTGGAGGGAAAACATACACCAGCAGAAGAGTAGAGGGTGGTGTCAGGGAAGAAGGAATAAACGGCTTTGCCCGAAGTGGGAGGGCGTTTTTTCTTAGGGAGCAGACCTGGTGAGGCTGCTGTAGAAAGAGAGATCTCTCATCCAAAAGGAGTGAGTCAATCTGACACCAGGTACCTAGAGAAGGCTAGGACTCTATAGTCAGACACGTTAGGATTTGTTATTTTGCTGGTTTATCTACCTTTTCTATGCTCATTTTTCCTACATGTTTTTGAACTCCAGTTGTTATTAAATCTGTTTTATAAAAGTAGTTTGTTACTCTGCCTGGGTCCTCATGCCTTATTTGGTCACTTATAAAAGGAAACAAAAACTGTGCGGAAAGACGCTAAGAAGAAAAACAGAACAAAGACAAACAAGCAACTCTTTGGTACTGTTCATACTAGAATGATGATAATATATATATAACATCTACAAATATCCAGCAGGCAAGTACATATTAAACATATTTAGTATTCCAACAGGTGGCATACAATGTCTTCCAAAAGGTAAGTATACAAATATAGAACAAGTCTACAGTACAAGTGCAGAGCAAGTCTGTAACAGGTAATATACAAGGTATTTCTAGTCTTCCAACTATATATATATATTATCATCATTCTAGTTTGAAGAGCACCTAA